TGGAAAGTAACATTTTGGTAAAAATTGCTATACCTGCACATGTTATTTTCTGGTACAAAATTAAGTATGAAGGCATGTGTGTATTTCCTTGCTTTTTTCAGGAAAGTATCATTACACTGTCTACTTTTAGTAAACCTGGAAACAGGTCATGAATGGTAGCTCCTGTGTTGTCTGGAAACCTTGAAAGAAAATTTGGAAAAAAAGAAATTGTGAAATATCAGAATTTCCTGGAGTTCCCATTGAAATCCTACTAGATATTCTTAAAGAAGACAGTGTAATGATACTTTCCTGAAAAAAGCAAGGCAATTGACACATGTCTTCATACTTTATTTTGTACCAGAAAATAACATGTGCAGGTATAGCAATTTTTTACCAAAATGTTACTTTCCAGCTGTACCTTAAGTTCAATATCAAAACTACTTTTATTGTTGGCAACACCCCTTTGCTACAAATAATTGCCAATTTGTTATATATGTTTGACAGCTATGTGTTTTTAATTATAGCTCCAAGCTATAATTACCATAATTATTTTATTTCTGCAGCATCCTGTACATTTACCCATGAGAAGAAAACTAAACAGTACTGATTGAAAATGCTATAGCGAGGACAGTGTAAGAATGCTCCATCAGAACAGTACAGACAGTACAGTATTTTGAAAATGGAAATCTGAAACAGAAAAATGAAACTGAAGACACACCTCTCGTACCAAAATGCACTTGGGAGATGGATCAGTGCCAGATTCTGTCCAAGGTGAAAAATTGCTAGACAACGTGAATAAGACTCAAATCAGCCTCAACAGTCATATCAACAAAAAGGTGAGATTTTCTTACAAATTGTCGGTATCATACATCCCTCCTTCAGGAAATAACATAAAATTATGCCTAAAATTGAATATGCAATTCCATTTATCTTCAGCCTAAACACAATGACTGATGGTAAAAAAGTTATTGTAAAATATTTCAAATATTTGAACATAAAAACAGCACAAAGCAGTGTATAGCTACGTATTGTTTTTTATTTATTTATTAAATACAGCCAGCATCGAAACATCGCGCCATGGCATATATGATAGCCAACTAATCACCGCTATTTTTAAAGCAACCCAAGATGCAAGGACGCAATTACTCTCTTTAATTATGTTTGGCCTCCTTTATTGTTTCCATCATTATCTGAAATAGATGTGCCACTGTTTTTCTCTTGCATGAAGGATTTCCCATAATATGGTCAAAGAAAACATCTCTTAGAATGTAGATATAGAACATGTGTATTGTAGAAGTTCCTTATACTATATATCTTCTCACAATGTTTACACTTGTACAAATCTTTAACCCTCTGAAAATAATATAAATAGGAATTCAATCTGATTTGTTGAAAACTTTGACAAACAATGCATGTATTCGTACACAATGGAAAATATTTCAGTAATTTTTTCCAACATGTCAGGAATTTAGATATCTACTTAAAAACAACTAAACAGTACGCCCTCCACTCAGCATGTTATTTTGAAATATATTAATCTTCCTCCTTGAAATCAGATTGATTGGGGTTTGGTATCTCTGAATCTATGTTTACACTCGCATTCATGCTAAATGAGTAGACTTCTTAGTACTAAATGGCTATAGTTGTAGTAACAGTGTACCACTTCATGTTTTGGGTAATACACATACCCTTTGTATCATTATACATTGATTGGGGCTCCGTACCTCTCAATCTATGTTTGCACTCGCATTCATGCTTAATGAATTGACTTCTTAGCACTTAATGGCTATAATTATAGTAACAGTGTACCACTTCATGTTTTGGGTAATACACATACCCTTTGTATCGTTATACATTGATTGGGGCTCCGTACCTCTCAATCTATATTTGCACTCGCATTCATGCTTAATGAATTGACTTTTTAGCACTCAATAGCTAACACATATGTCTTTTATCATTTAGATTTAATGATCGTTTTGAACTCCCCACATTATTCAACCAAGGCACACATTCATGCTAAAAATCATATCATCTTTTTTAATGATATTTTAATAACACTTATGTTTTGTTCTTATACAAATGTTTGCACTGGCATTCATGCTTAATGAATTGACTTCTTAGCACTCAATGGCTATAATTGTAGTAACAGTGTACCACTTCATGTTTTGGGTAATTCACATACCCTAGCTTTGTATCATATCGTTTATACATTGATTGGGGCTCCGTACCTCTGAATCTATATTTGCACTCGCATTCATGCTTAATGAATTGACTTCTTAGCACTCAATGGCTATAATTGTAGTAACAGTGTACCACTTCATGTTTTGGGTAATACACATACCCTTTGTATCGTTATACATTGATTGGGGCTCCGTACCTCTCAATCTATGTTTGCACTCGCATTCATGCTTAATGAATTGACTTCTTAGCACTCAATGGCTATAATTGTAATAACAGTGTACCACTTCATGTTTTGGGTAATACACATACCCTTTGTATCGTTATACATTGATTGGGGCTCCGTACCTCTCAATCTATGTGAACTCAGCGTTATGTTTTAAAATCATATTATATTTCTTAAATTATTTTTAACACATATATTTTTTATCATTTAGATGTAATGATCGTTATGAACTCCCCACATTATTCAACCAAGGCACACATTCATGCTAAAAATCATATCATCTTTTTTTAATGATATTTTAATAACACTTATGTTTTGTACTTATACACATGTTTGCACTCGCATTCATGCTTAATGAATTGACTTCTTAGCACTCAATGGCTATAATTGTAGTAACAGTGTACCACTTCATGTTTTGGGTAATCCACATACCCTAGCTTTGTATCATATCGTTTATACATTGATTGGGGCTCCGTACCTCTGAATCTATATTTGCACTCGCATTCATGCTTAATGAATTGACTTTTTAGCACTCAATGGCTATACTTGTAGTAACAGTGTACCACTTCATGTTTTGGGTAATACACATACCCTTTGTATCGTTATACATTGATTGGGGCTCCGTACCTCTCAATCTATGTTTGCACTCGCATTCATGCTTAATGAATTGACTTCTTAGCACTCAATGGCTATAATTATAGTAACAGTGTATCACTTCATGTTTTGGGTAATCCACATACCCTAGCTTTGTATCATATCGTTTATACATTGATTGGGGCTCCGTACCTCTGAATCTATATTTGCACTCGCATTCATGCTTAATGAATTGACTTCTTAGCACTCAATGGCTATAATTATAGTAACAGTGTACCACTTCATGTTTTGGGTAATACACATACCCTTTGTATCGTTATACATTGATTGGGGCTCCGTACCTCTCAATCTATATTTGCACTCGCATTCATGCTTAATGAATTGACTTCTTAGCACTCAGTGACTATAATTATAGTAACAGTGTACCACTTCATGTTTTGGGTAATACACATACCCTTTGTATCGTTATACATTGATTGGGGCTCCGTACCTCTCAATCTATGTGAACTCAGCATTATGTTTTAAAATCGTATTATATTTCTTAAATTATTTTTAAACACATATATTTTTTATCATTTAGATGTAATGATCGTTATGAACTCCCCACATTATTTAACCAAGGCACACATTCATGCTAAAAATCATATCATCTTTTTTAATGATATTTTAATAACACTTATGTTTTGTTCTTATCATACACATGTTCTGGGTCATCATTATAAGCCGACACTTTACCATTGACACACATTCGATTACCAGCATGTTATGTCCCAGTGCCTTTATTTGTTTCATTGTCCGCTGAAATTATTGTTTGTGTTGTTTGCTCCTTTACTTGTGCATATCCTATGTAATGTCCATGCATTGATTGAGGTTCCTTAGGTCTCAATCTATGTGCACACTCACTTTCTTGCCAAAAGTTATATATTTTTTAATAACTTTTTTTGATAACACACTTGCTCTCTTCTCTCTTCATATGCATGTTGTTGGTCATTATTATTAGCCCACACTCTATGATTGGTGAACTAACCTTACATGTTTAACTTACATTACAATATGAATCTCCAATAAGGTGAGTAAATGTGATCAAAAAGTGAATAATATGTATGAATGCATGCATGCTTTTCAAATTGATTAAGGTGCATAGTGTTAGGGTACACATGCGTTATCTTATGTTTGCCAATGTAATAAATATTGACATTGATATTAAACCTGTTTATGACTAAAGGTATTCTCTTGAGAAAGATACCACACACTTTCAAATTTTTTATGTTACAACCTTCCATTTCTCGACCAGACCTGTCACCAATGTGGAGAGATTTGAAATCTTGTGTTTTATAGTAGGCCAGGTATCTGGAGATGCAAAACTGATTGTACAATTGGTTAGTATTGCATAAAAGCGGAATTATTTTTGAGAATCTTTTCTTCACTAAAACTCTAAAAATTGTGAAACAATATTGTATATAATTATGATTTTTGAATCAACAGTGTATCAAGTTTTGACAGAATGGAAATATTGTTTTGAATTTTAATTCTGTTATGAAACTCAGTAGTTTTTATATTTTAATTAATGTCCAACCAAGATGTCAGTAGTCTATATACGTAGATGGGCGGCCGTTACAAGATGGCGGCCATTTGAAAATTCAAAAAAAGCCGGATGTATGACGTCATCCAATAGGTGGTTGATCTGGTGGATGGGCGGCCTTTACAAGATGGCGGCCATTTGAAAATTCAAAAAAAGCCGGATGTATGACGTCATCCAATAGGTGGTTGATCTGGTGGATGGGCGGCCTTTACAAGATGGCGGCCATTTGAAAATTCAAAAAAGTTGGCTGTATGTCGATAAGTGGTTAATCTGATAAGTGATAAGTGTGTTACGTCATCAGTGGCATAAGTTGGACTGATAAGTGTTTTGTAAATTGTTTTTGAAGATGGCGGGTTAATCATAAATAAGCAAACAAACAAACAAGCAAATAGGTTATGGACGTAAAGACCCTGTATTCATATAACAACCGAGCTCACAATAGGTGCCCATCCGTAATATTTGCACCACTGATATATGTAACAATAATTGCGAAATGTTTAAAACTGAACTGTTAAAAAAAAAAACTGTATATATATTAGTCAGTCTATAGCATGTTGTGGTAGTCATCATTGAAGAATTGGCACACAATACACGCCCACATCCCCTCTTGGTTTGCATGATCCAGTGGGAAATGAGCTAGACAGTTGCGTTCTTCTACAGGCAACTGAGGTAGTAATGATCGAATGTCCTTGAACATGTTGAAAAGGTCTGTAAACGAGATCTCCAGATGCCATTCTAAGGTCCTGGTCTTTTCAGCCCGATCATTCTCAGTGGCTGTGATCTGCACAAATTGTTCCTCAAGGCAGACCCTAAACTCATACCCTAGTCCTAAATGGTAGCACCTATCTGGATCGAATGAAAACGCAGCCAGTGCCTCGCGTGTGTATCCCCCCTTGGGTGTCTCATGTGTTTCGGTCAAGTATTGTATCAATGAACGGAGTCCCCCCTCCTCGAAAAAACACTGGACGAAATAATCAAATTCCGGGTGTCTTATAACAGCAAATTCACCTGGTCTAGTTGATGGTATCATAACCATAGAGTTTGAATGTTTCTGTCCCTTATACTCTCTGATGACGACCTTGTCCTCTAGAAGGTAGATAAACATAGTTTCCACTTTCATCATTTTTGGTAGATCGACTTCTAGCGGTTGTACAATAGAGCCAGTGGGTTTGTGAAAATCAGCCATTGATAGGTGGAATGTAACATACGTGGCATACATCGCCGCCGCAGCGTCATCATCATCAGCGAATTTTAAATTCATGGTGTCTCTGTCTAATACAATCCACCACTAGTACCACAATAGCTATTACACTTGCAAATGTTCGTGTTTTTTTTTCAGGTATATCAAATCCCTCTGCTATTTCGACTTACTGGAAAATGCTAGCATCAAAAGAGCATATTTGCTTAGTAAGAAATAAGAGAGTCCTATGTAGTCGATCAGTCGCAGTTGTCTAACTAATAAGTACATCACTGAATGTGTGGTTCGTTCTAGTTCAGTCAATCTTATATACCCCAACATATGTTGAGGCATGTCCGTACTTGTTGTTGGCTATCACATACGTCACCCAACATGGCGGTGTAACCACGTGACACATCCTATAGATAAAGAGCTTGTTCTGGCATGCCCATACTTGTTGGCTACCGCATACGTCATCAACATGGCGGTTTAACAACGTGACACGTCCTTTAGCTAAAGAATCTGTTGATGCAAGTCCATGCCTGTTGGTTATTGCATATGGTTGTGTAACCGCGTGACATGTCTTTAATGTCGCTGATGAGACAGGTCCATACTTGTTGACCTACATACGTACGTCATCATCAACATATGTCTTAAGATAAAGAGTTTGTTAATGCAAGTCCATTCTTGTTGGTTGATATAATACGTCATCAACATGACCAATTTTAAGACAAGGTTACTATTGGCTGTAAAACACTCAATGAGTCACGTGGTATTGTCCATCCTAGTTGTCATTGGTCAAAGAATTGTGTTGATTAGCTTATAACACGACTTCTTGAGCTACACCGTATCAGTCGAAGCTGTCTAGTCGAGAAACTCTGAATACCTCTTAGCTAAACGTTCTACAACAGCAGCAGTAGTAGTAGCAGCAAGAAAAGTTGACAAAGAAGTTGGATATCTAAAAAAAGTTAAACATGTCTACAGACAGTAAAACCAAAGTGACCTGCAGCAGTGTGGCCGTATTTCAGATCAGTGAAACAGTCCACATTGATGTTAAGAAAGGTGACTACAGCAAACCGTTTCTACTATTACAAGAGAGGAGTTGGAGTAGTGAGTTTAACACGTACGGCTTTAACAGTGTGCTGCTCACAGTGTGTCAGTGGAACTCCTTAAAAAACAACTTTAAAAACATTCAAGAGTTTGTAACATGTGTCAAAAGTGGTCAAAAGTCGGAAATGGCTATGGACTTGGGCGAGCGAAAACTGTTAAAAGCCATAGTAAAAGCAACGACTGCTGATGACATTGCTGTACTACTAAGACGTGTAAGAAGTACGCCAGACAGTAGCGGCGCAATGTCTGCCTGCGTAACCCTGTCATTGCAAGACTTCGAGAAACTTCAGAACTGGACGTACGTGGTGGACAGCTGCATCAAGGACCATTCAGATGTACCCATTATTGATAGTAAGTAAAATCCACTACACTTCTTAAATAGTAGGCCTAGGTTAGAGTTATTTCTTAAAACTAAACAGCGTCCATATCTCGATAAAGTATTAACCTTAGGAGGTCTTCTTCAAAAACACTATATCCCTATTAAAGTGTGTACGTGTATGTGTTTGCAGGTATATCAGACCCTAGTCAATATAAGTCACCAGGTCTCACTAAGTCCAGTGGGCTACCACCTAAACTTAGACCCTTCAAGTTAAAGATGCCAAAGGCGTATAGTAACAGTGAAACACAAACCACGGCCGATGCCTCAACACAGACGGTGCCCCCCACACCTACTGAGGACCTCAAAGACCCATTTCAAACGATGATGCCTACATATTCGGCGTTCAATGGCGATGGCTACGGCGGAGGCATGCCATCCCCAGCAGGTTTCAATGTTGACTTTTCCAGTGTAAACATTAATGACTATACACCACTGGCTACACCAGAGGACTTTGCATGTGGAAGTAGTGTGGATGATTATAGACCTTTTGGGTATTATAGCCCAATTTCGCCAACTATGTAACCGACTACTGATAACTGAGTGACTCTTGGCATAACCTATGTTGAACATATCGAGTTGGTGTAGGAGTTTATAGTAACATAAGCATCTCTGGCATTATATTGTAAATAGAAATGTGTAATAAATATTAACATACCTATGGTATAGATTATGAAATATAGATATACTGACATTCTGTTTACCCTCCCCTATAAATACCCATGTCCCCTTAACATTAGATCATTTGACGCACTAGGATGGAGTCGATGATGACAAAAGGTGACACTACATTTATTGTTGAAAGTGGCTTTCGACCATTTAGTTCATACATTCTAGCGGGGTCAAGTTACTCTGGAAAAACATATTTTATTTATAAATTTCTAAAAGAAGCCCCTAGTTTGTTTATAGAAAAACCCCCTACATCCGTGTTATACTGTTATGGTATATACGACGATTTCTATGCTAAAATGGAGTCCGAAATCCCCAACTTTACTCTTCACGAGGGACTCCCCAATGAAAACCTCATAAGAAAATATTCTCAAGACAGCGGCCATTTAATGGTGATCATCGATGACCTAGCCCATAGTGCTAGTAAGGACTCATTCACAGAAAGATTGTTCACCTGTGGCACACATCATGCAGGTAAACAAAATAATATAAAAATATACCTGTACACAAATCGCTTAAGTTAGCATCATCATTATACTCTAGCATTACAGCTGGACCTTTTTTTAATGGTGGTATGTGTTTTGCTTTTAGGTCTATCCGTCATGTATGTACTGCAACACATTTTCTATGAAGGACCAAGAAGTAGGGTTATAGCTAATAACGCTCAATACATGTGTTTGTTCCGGTCCCCTAGAGCTATGTCAAGTGTAAGGATTTTAGCGACACAACTGGGGCTAGGTGACAAGTTGATACAAGCCTACAAAGATGCCATGACGTCATCAAAATGGCCATATTTGATTTTAGACTTACATCCACTAGGAAATAGTAAGTTGCGCATGCTCAGTAAAATATTCAAAGATGAGCAGCCTACTGTAGTATATGAATCGTGACAAACTGGGTCCTACCCCATTCTGATGGTTGCGCTTGGCGAGCAAAGCAATGAGTAATATACTTCAGAGGAATATCAACTTTGTCAGATACTTGGTTGACTTAAAATCAAAGAGGTCCGTCAAAGGTGTACTACAAACTATCACTAGGGATCAGCTAAAGACCATTATTGAAATTGTACACAACCTGCTACAGACTGTCATACCATCATCAACAGCTGAGCGTCAGTCGTTAATAAAACATCGGTCTATGTTTGAAAAACTGGTTAGCAAGGGTGTATCTTTAACTAGCAAGAAACGGCTCATCCAAAGACGACAAAGTGCCTTACTGAAGTTATTAAGGATTGCCGTACCTCACTTAGATAAAGTATGACGTCCACGTTTAAATATGCCTTAATGCCCTTTTCTAAATATGAGCAAATGAAGGGAAAAATAGACTCTATGATGACTATGAATGTATCAAAGAAAGACAAGGTTGAACCTACGTCCCTGTCCGAGCACAACAGCAGCAGCAGTAGCATTCAAGTTGATTCAGAGGTACTCAACAATACTGGGGATAGTAGCCATAAAGATAAAACTATGGTAGTTTCAAGCCCTGAGCCCGTCAGTGTGAATAAAAACACATCAAAGGATGTGCCTAATACTAGTGCTATAACAATGAAGACCAACAAGGATAGAAAACGTATTCATAAACTAAGGACATTAAATCACCTAAACAGCACTAGCACCTATCCACTAAGAAAGGATGGACCAAGTAAGAAGGGGTCTATGATAGGAAAAGTGTCAAAAAATCCTAGTAAAAAGGGGCTAACAATTGATAGACGTTCCAAGAGAAAAAACACAGCAGATTTTGATAAATCTAGCTGGTTATCCTTCTGACTATGATAGGGATATTTGTGTTAGCAGTGTTTAGATGTATTTTAACCATGTAAAAAAAATAAAAAATAAAATAAAAATAAATAGGCTGTAGTTTTGACTAAGTACTATATATATAATATATATTTATTCTGTTCTTTCTATTTACAACAACATTTGAAAGTATTAAGCTCTAACTATAAACCACACAACTCTCTATTTATAACACGTAAATAAATACAAATGTTATTCATTATAAACAACTCTCTCTATATTACATGTAATGTCCTTGTAAATTGTCTTATCAAAATGTCATTGTCCATTTTCCTAACACTGTCAAATCCGGCAAGTATTTCACTCATCGTATGACCAAGACATCTCTGGATGCTTATGTACACCACATAGTCCCCACATGTATCAGACTCAATAGCCTGTATGCTGCAGCTATACACTGTCAGTGTATAGTCTGTATTATTACGACTGATAAACTCTGCAAAGGCATCACCATAGTCACTAGCACTACGTCCCAGAGAGCAGAAAAATTCCAAAGTACTTGTCCTGTGGTCAAAAAACATCAATACCCAGTGACCCATTTTAACATTGCTATTAGATGTATTAACAATGAAAATGTCCTGATTGGGTAGTCTGTAGTAGGGCAGTAAGTCTTTTGCATACACACCACCAAATCGACCCTTTGTACACGGCTGCGCTTGTAGCAGTCTGCGTATTGTATTTGAATCCATTGTCTAAATGGCAGGTAGAACAATCAAACAGCTAGACCAGACAGTTTCTAGCGTAGTCAATCTGAAAACTCTTCATAAATGTTCCCATGACAAGCACTGTCACTGGTTTATCCAAGGGACTTTCAAACCCCAACTCTAAACGAAGATTCCCCGTTCTCTGTAGGGCGATGGTATCCTCTGACCCAGGTTCGCCGATATACTGCAACGAAAACTTGAACAAACTCGTGCCCTCGGCAAAATCAAGCCTAGAAATATCATTAGACTCGAAATCGTCCAAAGATGCATATAAGTTCATGTGTTCACGAACATACTGCTGTCCTTTACTTTTGTCAAAAACGGGTCTGTATGCCTCCTCTGGTTGTGATATACCGTCTGTCAGACAATTGAGGTAGCTGGAAAAATAGTGTAACATTGTTGACAAGCCCCCCTTCTTAATTTTATTGTAAAAATAAAATATTTTTCTTGAAAATGTGCTCACTTTTAAAAACAAACCCAAACATGATTTTAAAAAACTGGCTACTTTTCTTGAAAATGTCTTCACTTTTAAAAACAAACTTAGCGTGAATTCAAAAATGTGGGACTTTTCTTGAAAATGTTATGAAAATAAAAACTTTCTCTTAAAATGCGCACACAAATAAGGACACGATTTAAAATGTTTGTACTAAAATAAAAACATTTCTTACTTTACTTTGAACGACTCAAATCGGAATGGATTGTATTTGTATCGTCCAACAAAGCCGTCTGCCTTCACAAAGCACACAATGAGTGTCTGTGGAATGTACGAATTGAACACATTGTCCAACACGATATTACTCAATCCAACATTAACGTTAAACGTTCGCAACTCGTGACTGTCGTAGAAGTACAGGGCGTTCTTGGTCTTCAGCATGCTATCGTGAGCCATAAGAACACCAGGGCTGACGTCTAACATGGCTATACGCAAATAAATGTCCTCGAGGGACAACTTGTATTTCATATCAGAATTGGTCATTAATCTAAACGCGTCACTTGCCGGTGTTAATCGGATCTTGAGTTCCAAATTGGGTAGTAAATATCGGGTCGTTTCGAACACATCTTCAAGCAATGAAGCCTCGAGGTCGACTATTTTAGAGCCCTTGAAAAGTTCTGCTCTTTGAAAGAGTCCATAATTTGATATTTTTGGCTTCAGGCTGGCATCGTCCCTTTCATCATCCATACCTGTATCCTTGTAATACAAAGCACCCTGCAGTCTAGTATCCTTAACGTTTTTGTTGTACCTCAAAAGAGTTTTCAAAATACTTTTGTAAGGATAGGTGTAGTTCGAGTTATTTGTCAGGGATTTCTGTTGAATCTGCACGTCACAATTGGCAAACTGTGTATGCAAAAGTAGATTGATTGGACCCACACTATCCACAGAGCCATCATTTTCGTCTACCTCCAAAGCACTACCGTCGTCTTTTACAATCTTCACCTTACAGTGTAATTTACATTTTGTCAAATCAATATATCTAGCCGAATTGTTGACAATCTGAAAGTCTATTGGGTGCGTCTGAACAATGGGGTTCAGCGGTCTAAAATTAACGTAATTCAAACCTAGTACACTTGTATTGGTACCGGGTGGACTGAATAGAAGGAGATTTGTATTAACTAGATCTTGGCTGCCGCTCACTTTAAACGATGTCATGTCTGTGTTCGGGAATCAAATTATCCCTAACTTTTCTTTATGAGCTCTTTTTCTGTTTCTTTCGCTTTGAAGGTGCCCCTGATTGAGCGCCGATGTTGTTAAATGCAGGAATACTAGACTTTTTTACAACCGCCTTCTTTGAAGCCTTGTGAACAAGTGCTGGTTTTTTATCCCTACTCTTCCTTTTATAGCCACCTCTGCCGACATAAGGATCCTTATCTTTTTGATGTTTAATCTCAGAACTAGCCCTGTCCACAGTGGCCTGAACTGGTGAACTTATGTTTATGGGTACACCTGTAGCTATGGGGTCCTTCCTGATAATATATTTGACTTTATTACGACCCCTCCCCACCTGATAAGGTGACGCAGTTTTAAAAAATGAAACCCACTTATCACTTTCATCAATCAATGGTACTAAATTCATGATTCTATCTTGTTAATCAACTCAATCTCCGTCGCAGCTGTAGTGTACAGTATGAGGTACCGTTCGCTAATGACAGTTCACTACCGTCACTCTTCTTTATATAGATGTTAATGGTCTCTACATCCCTGGGCAGTGTAGGTATGTAGAAAACAGGTGTGAATGTGCACTTATGAACCGCTGAGGGTAATCTTCTTAGAATAGGACCTTTATACCCACTATAGAGGGAGTTGTCAATTATGTCGCAGAAAAGATCCAAGCCTAAAGTGTTATCCAATGAGCTATCCAAATTAACCTCACACAGTCCAAGCTCGTAGTAGCCGTTTGATAGTTCTATAGTGTTAGGTAGCCGTATGGTAAAATTTGAGCTTGTGTTTGAAGTAAAGAATGTTTTGCTGTCCCTATCGCTTAAATACAGATACATGCTTTCAGATCAAGCTCTAGTATTTCACTAGTCAAATAGTCTTTTACACGCGTGTTTATACATTTTGAATGTCTGAAACCTTAACCCAAGATCTGAACTTTTTGGGGTAGTATTTCCAGTGAACAAGTGCCTCCCTCTTTCGGCCTTTCCCACGATACCTTATGATTTCCTGGATTTCATAGGGTTTGTCCGGATCAAAATGAGCCAACTGTAGCTCGGATACATAAAACCAGGAGTTGACAGATTCCCCTAAAAGATCGGCTACCTGATACACCTGAATATTTTGGCGCAAAGCTCGTTTCTCTATGACAAATAGCTCCTCAGACCACTGTTTTAAACCTTGTTTGTTGAATTTGCGTGGTACTTGGGACAGCCTGACATGTGACCCCACTTTGTATGTGTAACGCCTGCGTTTCTTTTTAACACCCTTTTCAATCTTAATGTTTTTTCCTTCAGTCTTCTTTTTATCTGGTTGTTTTAAAAACTGTCTTTCATAAAATATGTGTTCGTTTTCATAGTTGATGTCCTTTGGGGCATACCCCATTATACTGCGATTTGGTGATGCGTTGATCCCTTTTACAATATCTTGAAGGTCATCAATGTATCGATCAGTGTTTTTGTAGGTCAAAAATCGGGCAATACGACCTCTAAGCCCACGTATAGCTCTTTCGCTAATCGCTGATTTCGTTTCGGAATTTTGAGCTGTCATGTATTGTATACCCTCAGACTTTAAAAAGGTTTGAAACGACCCTTTAAATTCGCTACCTAAAAATCATTAGTATGGTTATATTATCATTTTCACCTTACAGTCACACGTTATTTAGAACATTTATTGTTGAAAACAAGCGTCATTTAGTTACCTTGATCAGTGAAAATTCTCGTAGGAACCCGCCCTGGATTATTGGCTAAAATGGTCTTGAATGCTTGAACAGCAGTCGATGATTTTGTATTTGCCATGGGCTGTACCATTGTATACTTTGACAGGCAGTCGATGCATAATAGTATATAGGGTAGTTTATCATTGGATTCAGCTATGTTTTTAAAGAAGGCCGTATCCATCTGCCATTCGTCATCGAGGCCGTAGACGATATAACGTCGCCTTTTAAACCGTCTCCTGGCAATTCTATTAAGAGTATAGGCATCTTCTTTAGCCAGGAACCGTTTTATTTGGCCAAGACTTATATTGTATTTTTTCTCTTTCTGCACAGCCTGATAAAGGGCCTTTGGACTCCCCAATGACCCTTCTGCTTTAGGGTTATAGTAGAGAGTTTTTAAGTACCTTTCTTTAGAACTCATGACGAGCAACTGTTTTCTTTTATGACCAACACGGTTATATAAAGGGCTAATATTAGTGGCTGAGTAAACACTTATCTCTTGAGCAACTGCATAACATAAGGAGCATGCTTTTTTCATAGTGAATTTGGGTAGGAAATAAAACATACACACACATATAACTAGCTGGTCTTCTTTTCATTTAAATTTTATTTATAAAGAGTAATAGCTAAACATATATACAACATATTTACAAACAATACTCTACATGTTTCGTACAATCTTAGTTTACAATACACGTTTCATTTACACGGTGACCAGCGTGTAAGACTGGTGACTTAATAGCCCCATGGAACGGTACAAAAGTCATCCACAACTTTTCGTTTGTCAAAGCAGAATCGATATCTTTTGCTTTGGTCAACGTTCTTTATTAATGTGTCTCTAAAGTTCCTTTTTATTTGAGGGTTTACCACGTCAACGTGACCTACTGGATGCTCATTTTTGACAAAGTCTAACATGGTCCTCATATTGATGTGCTTGCTACCCCGGACGTTTAAGG